CCCAGATTGGGGCCGAATCAGGCTGCCCCATTAGGGAATGAAACGCCACGCCTGATGTGGCCCTGATTAGGAAATCCACATTTGACCCTGATCAGGTGTGGCGTTTCATTCCCTCCTAGGTCCATTATAGGGCAATTTCTACACGGGTATAGTTATAAACAGAAAATCCTATTTTTTTAATGCAAAATCCAATTAAAGAATATAAAATCCTAAAACCGTTAGAATTGCTGAAAAATAAATTAAAAATCAAAAAAGAAATGGTCGATTATAAAAACTATTCGGATTTCGAGATTGAAGATAAACAGAGAAAATGGAGGAAAAAGAAAGGAAGAACAGTTTTCGTCAATTGAATTGGGAATTTGATCAACGCCCGTGGCTGTAAACGGAACAGTGTTGTAAGGAAAGTTTCGGGACGTAGTTGTAAACGACCATTGGGTCTTCTTGTGGTTTTGAAGCAGGAACTCCTGAGGGTCAGACCGATGAGTGACGTCCGATGTCTGGGTTTCCGTAACTCTTGCGGCCTCAAGGCACTGTGTAGTCGACAGCCTTGGCGACGACCTATGCCGAAGAGAGAAAGAGAGAGAGAGAGATTCTCTCTCCGATCTACTTTACTCTGGAAACTTATCCGTAACAATCGGTAAATGTGTAACATTGTATATATAGATGTACGATAGTTTTACCACTACTATCAACTTACTTACACAACCACTACATCACATCACCCACTATTGGATTCATTCGCTACCCACCACTAGTTGCTTGTTCTGCGTTGCTTCACGCAAATGGCTCAAGTTTTAGGCTCCCTACAACCCCTCATGCAACACAAGATTATTATGTCGAGAACCATCTGAACACGAGTTGTTTAATATCCGAAGAAAAATGAGAATTCAATAGAGAACAAGACTTTTAATCAGTGAAAAATAATTAATAGCAAAACGTCAGAGACTTGTATACAAATAATAGTATTTATACTAATTTAGTTAAAAATAACAAATTAGTTTTCAGGTTATGTAAACATAATTGGAATTTTATTGAAATTTTTATTAATTAATTCAATTAGTGAAATTTGACTATTTTTTCAGTAATTAGTTACTGTTTTTGCTAATAATTAGTTGGTTTTCACTAATTGATGAAGCCGGATGAAGCAAAAGGTGAGCCGTGATTTTCCACAAAATTTGTGCACGATTGCACGATTCTTGTGTTATCTACAAACTGCATTTGTAGTCTCCACAAATAGCTAAATTTGGGAAATACACAAATCGGATTTGTGAACAACACATAAATTTTTTGTGACAAAAACAGATTTTTTTGTGCTTTGCCCAAATCTGCCTGTTGGAAACATTATTTTCTTTGTTTACAGCACAGTTTTTACACTTTGTATATTCTAGAATTGTCACAATAAATTCAAAGAATTAAAAAATTTTCCATAAATCCAGATTTTAATGGTGTGTGCACGATAGCACAATTCTTGTGTTATCTACAAACTGCAGGTGTAGTCTCCACAAATAGCTAAATTTGGGAAATACACCAATCGGATTTGTGACCAACACATAAAATTTTTGTGATAAAAACAAATTATTTTGTGATTTGCCCAAATCTGCCAGTTGGAAACATTTTTTTCTTTGTTTACAACACAGTTTTTACACATTGTCTATTCTAGAATTGTCACAAAAAATTTTTTTCCGTGTTCGTAAATTCAAAGCAACTAAAAATTTTCCAAAAATCCAGATTTTAATGATGTGTTAGTAAAAGTCCTGCTCAAAAAATGGCGATTGCATGGATTTTACCTCTACATAATATTGTTTTTGTACTATTTATTAAAATTTAATAATTTATTAATTGTAAATTACACTAAAAATTATATTCTAAAAAGAATATCTTCTTGGCATCTATTTAAAAATATTTACCATGCATTTTATTCTTACAGTTAGAATACAATATTCTTAAAGTAAGAAACAATTCTTAAATCAAGAAATATTCTACAAACAAAAGAAAAATTCCTTAATTTAAGAAATTTTTCTTATTTTAAGAATATTATAATCTAAATTTAAGAATAAAATGTATGCGGCAAATATTTTTAAATAGGCGCCAGGAAGATATTCTTAAATTTAGAATATAATTTTTTTAGTGTAGTTAAATGGAAAATTTAATTTAATTATTTAATTGAAATGTAAATTTTATTAAATGGTAATTAAAGTAAACTTAAAGTACTTTTATGAAATAATTATTAAAAAAATTGAATTATTATCAATCGAGTAGAGCCGCATAAGTTTTTCTACTTTTCGCTTGTTTTTTTGTTTCTTTTTTTTTACGACACTGATTTTCTCTGGAGCGAAGGTGCTATTGAATTGGAAGCAAATATAATAAACGGTAACAAACAGAAAACAGAAAAGTTCGTTAAAGGAAAACAGTAAACGTCCATTATTTATTGTTGAAAATCACGAAGAAAACAAAAACAAGGTCATTTCAAACCATATAAAATATGATAATTAAGAAAAATAAAATATTTTTCAATATATTTTATTCACCTAATAACTATTATTTTTCTTATCTTATTTTTTTATTAAAATTATTAAATTTATCGTTGAAATATTTTACTTAATTTGCACAAAAATTATAGTTTAAAATTTCCTAATTTTTGATATGTTTATTTAGTTTCTATTTTTTTAATAAACAATTTTTCCTTAATGAGAATTTTTATAAAATATATCACAATTACCTAAATTACAATCAAGCTCGTGGTAGAGATTATCGATAATTTTTTTTTTATATTTCCATTTTGTCTTATCGAAAACGACTTAATGCACTTTGAGCTTGAACAGGTGATCTTGTATCTCTATTCCCGTTAATCATGATAAAAAAAGATATTTCTTTTTTATCTTTAATTTTCTCCGTCTTCCGATATTTACATAGTTTACAGTTTACTATTTACATTTAAAAAAAAATAACTTAAACTTTCTTAAAGAAAATAATAATAATAAATAAGAATAATAATTAGTAATAATGCAAATTGAAATTAATTCAAAAAAAAAATCGTAAGAATAATTTGAATATATAAAATTATTACAATTAATAAAATATATTTACAAATAAACTGTCTAAATTACACCTTTGTGCCTTTTCTGATTAAATTTTCAATTTCTCCGACTCAATTTAAATTTCTAATTAAATTCAATTTGTAATTGGACTTTGCTCAAGAGACGAGTTATAATTAAATAAATATAATGAGAGTGAAAAAAAATTTCATTCAAAGGGTTTATAAAAAAATTTTGATATGTAACGTAAACGTTAGTTATATATAGAATGAGAGAGAGAGAGAGAGTAAGAGAGAAAGAGAGTATATTACGATAAAGGAATATCTTTCAACCTCGAAATTTGTCCTAATGAGACGAAGAGAAGTTTTGAAATAAGATGGCATCAAAAGGTAGGGAGGAACTCAATGAATGTACATTTTCCATTTTGCGCGTTCGCCTCTTAGAATACAGCTTCCTTTGAATGGAACATCCTCGGCTTTAGACGCCACTGTCATAACCGAGACGTATTCATATATACCATATCTCTTTCTTATATATACATAATATACATATATAGGATAAACTCGGTGAATAAAAATTCTCTGGTCACCACATATTTCATTCATAAAACGACATATGTCATTATTTGTCATTTTTTTTTTTGTTTTTAACATTAAAATATACTTTTTATCTTAACTCTTCTCACTTTCACAAAAATTTATCAATCTTTTTCTTTAATATTTTCCTCTTCATTAAAAAAATAAAATTCAAAAAAAATTTCATTATTTATAATTGTAATTAATTTTATAATTTTTAATTAAAATTCATATTAAATTTTATAATATTAATATTATTTTATTTAAAAAAAAATTAATTAACGAATTATAATTTAGCGGAAAAAAATATAATATATGAAATATTGAGATTTGAAATATTATAACTAGAAAAGAGTAGAAAAGTTCAATGAAACATTTGTCTAATTTAAAAATAATGGTTTGCCTTTTACTAATAAATTTTATGTATATGTTTAATACATTGTTTTCTATTGTATATAGTCTGTCACTTATGCTTGATTATACAATATTATCATCAAATAATCTAATATAATACCTATAGATAACGAAGTAATTATGAATCAGTGGTCGAAGTGCAAAGAGTATGATGAGGGAAATTCGATAAACGTGTGGGTTTTAACTTTTTTTTTTTTTTTAATAAACAATAAATCAAATTATTGTCTCGGTAATGTACACATTGATAAAATTTTATTTCGTCTACCATGTTGACAATGGAAAAGTACAACTGTCTAAAGTTTCCTTAAAATCTAAATGCATTTTTTCTTGTTAATTTAAATTTTATAATTTAATTTTGTAAACATAGAGAAAATCTGAAGTAATTTAATAATAGCAAAAATTGATTTGAAAAAATATATAAATAAGTAATTGAATTATTATAATAATTATAGTTATTTTACTAAATTATAATTATATTACTAATAATTATTTTACTAATAATAATTTTACTAATTAAAATTATATCACGAAATATTATTATTTTACACTATCATTATTTTTCTATTTTAATAAATTATTGTACTGATATTACTTGTATTAACTTTAAAAAAATAAAATTTTAATTTTCAATATCACAAATTTAATGATTATTTACTTAATGAATCAGGCTTCGTGACATTTCTCAAGAGGAATCAATGACTGAATAATGACTAACAATGTTATTGATATACAAATTTCAATTATGTTTTTCTCTTTATGCCTGAGAATCATTTTAAAATAACTCAAGTGGTGATTAAAATACTAAAGATATTTTTCTTCTTTTTTACTCAATTTTTATCTATTTATAAAGTTTTTAGAGGAAACTTATTAAATATTCATAAATATTTACAAAAAATATTGCATATGTATGAAGTAGTTTTAATATTCTAAGACTTATTTGCATATTTATTTATTTTCAGTTTAATATAAAAATTTCAACATCTTTTCAATTTCAACAGAAGACAATTTTTACTCTTTCCAATATATTCAGGGGAAAAAAAAAGTAAAAACACTAAAATGAGAAATAAATTTTACCTCATTCTTTTTCTGTTTTACACAGTTTTGCAACAAAAAGTTTCAACTTCAGTTATAGAAGGTTAGAGTAAAATAATTTAAAATAATAATAAAAATAATATAAAAATTTCTGTGAATTATTATAGACTGCTTTCAAGATTTGGATGAAATTTATTCGTCAGGATATTATTACGATCCAACAATAGATAAATGTGTTAAATTCTTTCAACATTACTTTAAAATTAATAAAAAATATGACAGCAAAAAAAATTGTCTACAAAATCGCGATCCTGGTAAGTAAATTACAATAAATTTTTTAAAAATATATTTTGAATTAAATACAAATATTTGTCTCAATATGAAATAATTTTATTTATTTGTTGTGAATAAAAAAAATTTTTTCGTGAGAAAATAAATTTTTTACTTCAAATTCAATAAAATTTATTTTTGAAATAGTTTTAAATAATTTAAACTCTGAGACAAATATATATATATTTTTATCTTGGGAATAATAAGTTTCAATTTTTTCTCTAAGAATTTATTTTATATTTAATTTTGACTATTAATTCATAAATTGCTTCTATTATAGATTACTATAATCGTCTAGAAGAAACTTTTCCATCTGTCTATTTTTACGATAAAAAAACTGGCGAATGTACTGGATTATTTTATTCTCAATTTTTACATACACCAAAAAATTCTTTCTCTTCTAAAGAATTATGTGAGAATACCTGCCTAGGCTAATTAATATTATTTTTTTAAATAATAAAATTTAATATAGAGAAATTTTTTTAAAACTATTTCTATAATATTAAAAAAAAACTTATAAAATTATAATACATCGAAAATTAAATTATGCGAAAGAATAATAATTTAATCGAACTATATCACACAGCTGTTATTTTGGATTATTCTCTCTCTCCTCTTTCTCTCGATGAAAAAAAAGTGAGAAAAACAACGAGTTTCATTTCAATTTCAGTGATTGGATTCTATTCTGGTATATAGGTTCAAAGTTTAATGCATGCTAGAAGGTAGGCTTGTTTGCTTTCGAGAAAATTGCTAACGCATGTGAGCTTGTGTATCGAAACGAAATGTAATTTGGACGTAACCACCTTTGGGACCATCCAGAAACTTACTCTCCAGCTTTGACCAAAGACCCTGCAAAAATTCTCCAAGGACTGCGAGACAAGCCCCGGTTTCGAAAAATCAATCTTTTCGAGCTGACGGGCAAAAATTCAATTACATTGAATTATATTTTGTCTCTCTTTCTTTATATATATATATAGTAAATACAGGAGATGAAATTCAATCAAAAGAAATTTTTTTACACAATCATTGTTTTGATTTTTAAAAAGATAAAAGTTGTGGGTAAACAACTTGTGAATGAGATTGAATAATTGTGAATTATCTTAAAGTATTTGGATTTATCTGAAGTATCGTAAAATATCTTGAAGTATTTAAAAGTACTGAGAATTGTCTTGAATTATCTTAAAGTATTTCGAATTATCTGAAGTATCCTGAATTATTTGAAGTAACGCGAAATAACCTGAATTGTCTTAAAGTATTTTGAATTATTGGAATTTTTTTATTTCATTATTATCTTGAAGTATTTTGTAGTACCTTAAATTATCTTGAAGTATTTTGTAGTATCCTAAATTATCTTGAAGTATTTGAAATTATCTGAAGTATTCTGAATTACCTTGAAGTATTTAAAGTACTTTGAATTATCTGAACTAACATCAAATATCCTGTAGTACTAAGAATTGTCTTGAAATATCTTAAATTATCTTAAAGTATTTTGAATTATCTGAAGTATCCTGAATTATCTTGAACTATTTAAAGTACTTTAAATTATCTGAAGTATCTTGAAATATCCTGATCTACTTTATACTACTGAGAATTGTCTTGAAATATCTTGAAGTATTTTGTATTATATGAAATATTGTAAAGTACCTTGAAGTATTGTGAATTATCTTCAAATACCTTGAATTCTCTTGAAGTATTTTGATAAATCTGAAGTATCCTGAATTATCTGAAGTACTGTGAATTATCTTGAAATATTTTGTAATATTCTATATTATTCTTGAAGTTTATTGAATTATTTGAAGTATTCTGCATTACCTTGAAGTATTTAAAGTATTTTAAATTATCTGAGGTATCCAGAAATACTTTGAAGTACTGAGAATTGTCTTAAAATAACTTGAATTATCTTAAAGTATTTGAATTTATCTGAAGTATCCTGAATTATTTGAAGTATCGTGAAATAACCTTAATAGACTTGAAGTATTTTGAATTATTTTAAGTAGCCTGAAATACTTTGAAATACTATGAATTATCTTGAAATATTTGTAATTATCTGAAGTATCCTGAATTATCTTGAAGTATTTAAAGTATTGTGAATTGTCTGAGGCATCCTGAAATGCTTTAAAGTACTGAGAATCGTTTTGAAATACCTTGATTTATCTTGAAGTATTTAGATTTATCTGAAGTATTTTGAATTATTTTAAGTAACCTGAAGTACTTTGAAGTTCTGTGAATTATCTTGAAATATTTTGTAATATCCTAATTATTCTTGAAGTATTTGAAATTATCTTAGTAGTAGTATTTAAAGTATTTTGAAGTATCCTGAAGTATCCTAAAGTATCCTAAAGTACTTTGAAATACTGTATATCATCTTGAAATTTTTTGTAATATCCTAAATTATCTTTGTGTATTTGAAATTATCTAAAGTATCCTGTAGCAAATGAAATATTTTAAATTATTTTCTTATCGATTTTCAGATAATATTTACATCATTCTGATGAGTTTCCATTATATAATTTTTTAGTATCATGTTTCGAGGGGTTTATATATATATATATATATATATATATATATATATAAATATAAGCTTATATTCTTTATCGAAAAGTTCAATTTTCTGAGAAACTAGTTGTGTGTTCAGTTCTCGTATCTAATCCTTACGAGACATATAAGCTATAAAGAATCTTTTCCAATGAAGCACGTGAATTTCTGCAGCTCCAGCTCGTCACGAGGCTCCCATGTGCTCTGAATGAAAAACGCGTTGGCACGTCTTCGCGTAGGATTAAGATCTCACTTTGCCGTTATTCTGATCACGGAGTTTCGGTTACAGGAAAGAAGAGAAAATATATAGTATATAGAAAGTGGCAATACAGATAGGATAAATGTATATATAGGAGGCTGTATATGGAGGTAGTCAACGATACAAGAGATTCGCTCCCATGAGTTTCTGCGGATCTGCCAACCTACGTTGAAGAAGAATATCAGAGAGAGAGAGAGAGAGAGAGAGAGAGAGAGAGAGAGAGAGAGAGACGAGAAGATCCGCGGGGTCTCGTAAACTTAAACTCAACATGTACGTTTCCCATTGGATGAAAGTAGAGAAATGAATAAAATTTAAGTGAAATGAAAAGCGTATGACAAAATGGAAGAGACTATATGGAAAAAAAGTGCAGCACGCAAAAGAAGAAGAGGAAGTGCAAAAGAAATGAGAAAGGCGATCATATAGACACACACAAGCCCCTTTGAGTAAAAGGTGTTTGAAACGATAGGTCTTTCAATCGCCTTATGGTGTAGATATCGTAAACGAGATTGGGCAGAGATGGAAGGACATAATAAACTGGAAAAAGAAAATGTACCCTCGTGAAATCTAAAGTTGCTTTACGACAAAGAATATAACCATCTGACAAGTTTATGATCCTTTCCATTGCATTGTCGCAGTTTGGAAAAAAAGACATATCAATTGTATCTGATACCAAATTCATTTTCCACAAAATTTAGTTGAGAAATTGAAGGAATACAATTTATATATATATGAGAATAAATGTCGTTCTGTGGTAATAAAGTCCAAGGACGATCATTGCCACGTCATTACAAAGCTCGGACCAACACTCCATTTTGCGAGCCATTGTATCAGAATGGAGTTTATCTGCATGGAACCACATGTTATTGTTGTGTACTTTATCCAACGGTTGCTCGTTCGCATTTCTCTGTGATATAATAACCGGCACACCGACAATGGTTTAATCCGAGAACGAAGCTTCGAGCACAAAAGGCGTGAGCTACGGAAGTAAGCTGATTAGGAAACACCCACCCCCCTTATATTCTCCTTTTGCACTCCTATATATTCGCAGCCTCATGCCGGGAGGCTTTCTCTTTTTCCTTCATCTTTCTCACTTCCTGGCTTCTCTCTCTTTCTCTCTCGGCCATTCGAAGGCCGTTTTCTCTTCTTTTTAACCACATCACATTTATGGCCCCTGATATATCAAAGTATTATACCTCTTCTTTAGATCTTTCTCTTAAAACATTATGGACAATATGTTTAGTTTATGTTCATCAATCTTTGGGAGATTTTCATCTTTTTTGTATTGTTTTGGAAATACCGATGGAATTTAATAGGCTCAAGGGAATATTTATCTGGATTTTGAATAATTGCGACGACAAAAAATTGAATTAAGTGATTGCGGTAGGATTAAGGAGATGAAAACAACAAAAAATCGTACAAAATGACAGTGGTGGGACTACAGAAATAAAAACAACAGAAAATCGTATAAGGTGACAGCGGTGGGACTAAAGAAATTAATACAACAGAAAATCGTACAAAGTGACAGCAATGAGACTACAGAAATAAAAACAACAGAAAATCGTATAAGGTGACAGCGGTGGGATTAAAGAAATTAGAATAAAAGAAAATCTTATAAGGTGACAACGGTGGGACTTAAGAAATAATAATTTAAATAATTGCGACGATAAAAAATTGAATTAAGTGACAGCGGTGGGACTAAAGGAATTAAAACGCCAGAAAATCGTAAAAAGTGACAGCGGTGGGACTTAAGAAATTAATACAACAGAAAATCGTACAAAGTGACAGCAATGAGACTACAGAAATAAAAACAACAGAAAATCGTATAAGGTGACAGCGGTGGGATTAAAGAAATTAGAATAAAAGAAAATCTTATAAGGTGACAACGGTGGGACTTAAGAAATAATAATTTAAATAATTGCGACGATAAAAAATTGAATTAAGTGACAGCGGTGGGACTAAAGGAATTAAAACGCCAGAAAATCGTAAAAAGTGACAGCGGTGGGACTTAAGAAATTAATACAACAACAAATCGTACAAAATGACAGCGGTGGGACTAAAGAAATGGAAACAACAACAAAAATCGAATACTGGCAGCGGTGGGATTAAGGAAATGAAAACAACAAAAAATCCTATAAAGCGACAGCGGTGGGATTAACCAAATATATGACTCATTTACAGCAGGGAAAATAATAATAATTGACCATAAACTCAATTACAGTAAATAGAACGAAACTTAAAGGATTAAAGATGATTTCTTGTGACGTTCCTTTTTCGGTTGAGAGCACAATCTCCTTCCCAGACGTTTAATACCTTATACGCATAGTGGAAAAACACATATGTAGTCCTAACAAAAGGGGGTTGCTTTTCGAGGATCCTTTGGGCTTCGGGTTAAAGCTTTAGTCGCAGTTGACATTAATTAATTGTAACTCGACGTGGAATACGAGCATAATTACTTTGCTCGAGTGGCCCTGAGCTGAAAGTTTGCTCGTTATCGGAGCGTTACATGGGGGGCTCCTCTCTCTCTCACCATATATATACACAAGTGGAGGACACACATCGATTATCTTGTTCCTCAGAAAGGATTGTCTCATCTTCTCAACATATATATATTCGCAATTCCCAAGTTTCTCATCCAAAGACAATATTCTAATCTCTTATAATTAAATTTTTATTTTATTTAACAAATAGAATTTAATGGTAAATTATCACGAGGATCATATTAATTGAATATGATCTTCTTTATGGAAACTGACACACACGAGAGAGTTGGAAAATTTTCGTCTA